TGCAGCGTAAAGAACTCTTGGGCGCGTTCCAAGTCCCGCAGTGCCCAGATCTCGTCTGCGAGCACAGTGGGGTCGGGATGGCTCAAAGAGGCAACACCCGCCAGAGTATACCAATCCTCAGTACGTGTAGCAACACCTTCTTCTCTCCAGGAGCAAGGAGCTACTAGGGGCACTCCTGGCCTGAGTACTAGTAGCTCCCATCGCTACGAAGGTAACAAAGGGCATCGCGAACCGAACGGAGCAATCGGACGCGAACCGAACGTAGCTACCCCGGTAGCCCAAAAACCAGGTGGTTTATCTCACTATGTTCAGTCCAAGTCTCAGTGGACTTCTTAATGCATTCGTCCAACTGTACATTCATCACCACATCCATGAAGGATGAAAAATTCCTCAAAACCTCTAAGCCCGGCATGGCCTTCACGCGCCCGTTCTGATGACTGATGAGGTGCACCACCTCCGCCGCCACGTGGCATGCGGAAGGCGGCACGTCGGGGACTTCTGCAAAGGCCGAAGGGTCCAAGTACGCCCAGGTGCACACGTCCACCTTGCCAGCAAGAGGGGAAGACATGATTTGGTTGATACTGGTATATACATATATATATATATGATACATGATATATGATGGAGAAACTTTCTCTTTCCTCAAATTGCGATCATTGTTCAACCGCAAGAATTCCACCGCAACTCAAGAGGCCATGGGTTTGCGGATGTCACTCACAGCTGCAGGGGCTCGGAGATGGCTGGAGTCCCACCTGGCTGTAGCCAGCCATGCGTTGTGTCAAGGGCATCCAAAACCCATCCCCACCTTGACATCGGCAATTCACCTGCGTTCGCTTGCGTGTTGTTCGGGGGTCGTGGTGGTGGTTCCCTCCTCAGTGAACCTGTCCGGAACCAACATGAACTGCTTTTTCAACGCATCGAAACACACAGCACCGCTCCAAGTTCTTTGCTTCTGTCTTGGATTGGTTCTTGAAAGGCGAAAAGGCAGAAGGCGAATCCATGTTTGAGACTCCCAAGACTCCCAAGGTTCTTTCACACAGCGAACCTCCACCAGGCAGGGGCCATCAGCTGTCAGTATGACTTCGCTATGGCTGGCGCCATTCCGGATGCCCAGGGCGTCCAAGCAGTTGCGTGTGTAGGTCACCAAGCTTTCTGCCGTGGGAGTGTTACTGGCAACTGGTCGTTGCCCCGTGCAAACATAGCTCCCATTGACTTCTTGGACATCGTACATCCAGATCATGGTGGTCTTATGTACCCCATCACGCGACACCTGGTCCACGACGAACTCCTCACAAACAACCGCAAAACGAACGTGGAACCTGAGAATTGACCATATTGACCTGTGGTTTCAGCCATTTTCCGATTACCAACACGGTTTTGGGGTTCCATGGTCCTCTGCAGGGGAGATGCATCGTGTGTCTACAGTGTCTACAGGTGTTCGCCAGGACCAAAACTGGGCTCTCGTCTCTCGCTTAAGGCTTCAACGAACAGCTTGCTGCGCTCAGCTGAGGCTCCGTTCCATCAAGGAACTCTTGCACAAGAACCCCACTGCCCTGTGCTCCGCACCAGCGCTGCGTGGTATTCAGGTGCTCAAAATGCGCACGAGCCTCATGGCAAAGTGGGCTTAAGAGTTTCCAGGAGTGGGCAAAGTGGAAGCGTGGAGGCTGTTTGTATTTCCACAGCTCTTGATGCTTGGTTGAAAGATATGCTTGGTTGATTGGACTAAGCCGACTAAATATGCCTGAAACATGGTGAGAAGTTCCTTGATGTTCCCATACGATCGCAATCGATTGGAGAAGTCTCTCAGAAATGACCTGCTCTGTTCGCAAATGGCAAGGATATGCAACTGCACTCGCCGTTGTGACAGTTCTGATTACAGCCATCTGCCCCAAGCAGCTTCGGAGTTGAAACGATCCCATTAGTAGTGGATGATGCCGACTAAAATAGGGGCACCCTTAATGACCTTAATGACATGGACAATCATTTGATGGTTCTCATGCTTATCCTTTCTCACCGAAGTCTAAGATCAAAATCTTCTTTTTCTGCACACCCAAATGGATTCCAGAACTCAAAAACGATGAATACGATACGATCTGTGGAATTTCTGTTCCCCAAAGGATCTCCAGATCAGTTTTCTGAGGTCTTTTTTCAGCACTTTGTCCATCTTCCAGGTTCCATCTGAGAACATGAAGAAATCCCTTCTGCCCTCGTTCTTTCTTTCCAAACCTTACAGTCACATCCCATTCAACAACAAGAACCCTCGCGCTGGCGCTCGCTATCCCAACCGGCACCGGTTCCCGAAACGGACCACATGGTGGCGGTTCTCGAAAGCAACTCTCGGCCTCCTCCATGGAGTGGCACAGTTTGAAGCCATCTGCTCCGGCCGATTCCACTGGTTTTACCACCAGCGGAAAACGCTCGGCTGCGGCAAAGCTGGCCACCTAGCGAGCGACCGAACTGCAAGTTGGGGCGACCGGTGGGTGAAGCCCGTCCCTTCTTGGGGGTTGGAACTGAGGGTTCGCGCACACGAGCGCAGAGGACAGCAAAGGGGTAAACCGGGTAAATCACATGAAAAGAGATGTCATCACGTCAAATCGAGAGGACTTTGCCATGAAAAAAGAAGGCGTTGGAAGAAGGTTTTAATAAAAAGGCCTGGCCTCTTATTGTCCTCCCATTCCAAGAGATCCCTTTCAGTCCATCCAATCCCCTCCGGGTCTCACGAGAAGCCATCCGAACGTCGCGCCACGCTCCTTCCGTATTTACGTTTCGAAGTTCTTGGGTCGAAACACACCCGACCCCCCCCAAGCGACTCAGAGAAGGAGTGGAGACGGACTGTTTGCTCCTCACCCTCAACATCACCATGCGCCGTTACTCACCATCCTTCACCGAACTTGGGAACC